CTGCGACTACGACTACGACGACGACGACGACTACTACTACTACTACGCCTACTGCTACTACTACTACTACTACTACTACTACTGCTACCATTACTACTTCTGCTGCTACCACTACGACTACTACTGCTGCTACTACTACTGCGACTAGTAATAGTAGTAGTAGTAGTAGTAGTAGTAGTAGTAGTCGTAGTAGTAGTAGTAGTAGTAGTAGTAGTAGTATTAGTAGTAGTAGTAGTAGTAGAATAGTCGTCGTCGTAGTAGTAGTAGTAGTAGCAGCAGTAGTAGTAGTAGTAGTAGTAGTAGTAGTAGTACTGTTACTGCTACTACTGTCACTATCAAGACTGCGACGACGACTGCTGCGACGACTTCCACTACAGACACTGCTACGCTACAGCTACCGCTGCTGCTACTGCTGTTTCAGCTAGTGTTGCTGCTAGTAACAAATGTACTACTGCCGCTCCTACACTGCTGCTGCGACTGCCATTGCCATTGCTATTGCGACTTCTAAACAGATATCGGGGTTTGTCACTACAACTTACATTAGGAGGTTTCAGACGAGCAAAAAAGCTATATTGTGACAGTTTGATGACGTTCTGCATTCGCTAGGTCGTATTTTGGTCGCTTCGTCGCTGGAATCCGGCTTGTTCGACATCGTACAACCAGATGCCGGCAATTAGCAGATCAAGCAACAACCGGCAACACCCAAGACGAAATGATGGACGTAGGAGGGACGGAAGGAAATGTTTGGGTTTGAGCCATCCCTCATACTCTCCTGTCCTAGTCCGAGGCTTAAGAGACCCAGCTTTTCCCAGCCTACCCACGGCTTTTCGTCGGTTTACAGGTTAGGACATCTCCAATCTCGCTGCTTTTGAAGAAGGTGGATGCCATCAAGATCATACAAGACCATCTGACTTACCGCCGGACACTAAGGCAACTAAGGCAACCAAAAGCCACAGGGTGTTTTCGTGCAGATTTGACAATTGTGTAGAAAGGTGGCGATGCCTCAGACTCCGTCTTCCAGGCGGCAACAACGCATCTCCAGCAAGGCGTTTGGGAGCTACGCGAGTGCAGCTTGTGTCGGCTACGTTATTCCGACTGCTGTGCTTGCTAGGGATTGCGGCAACTTCGGCCTGCAACACGGTGTACCCAATGGCCATGGATGCTTTTACCATGAGCAGCATGGGCTGCGGAATGATGCCCGCTTGGGGCCCGTTCTGCTGTGCAAGATTTCAGAGGGCCTGCTTGGACGAGCATGGAGTTATCATGCACGATTACTCAGATGGCGATGCCGGGCTGCTTCGGTGCGGAGCTCATAATCTGCTCGCTCCGATGTGGAACGGGTCGGCTGCGCCGGTCGTAAAGGTGCCATGATGCCTGGCCAGATGTCTCCAATGGCAGGCCTTGCACATGAGTAATTGCATGAGCATGGAACTGTAGAGGATGACTCGATACCTGATACCTGCTGCTGAACCGATGTGTGAGGATGTGGTATGATGGGCTGCACCTGGGGAGGCATGATGAGAGCCGAGGAGAGAAGGGTTTAGGCCCGTTCAAGCAGCGAATCGAGGTGCCATGCCATGTGCGACAAACGGCACAACTGAAGAAGCTGGTGCAACGGCCCCGGCAGCAACTGCGGCCGCGCCAACAGCAACAGCAGCTATCGAAGACACGGGCGATGCCCAATCGGCCACTGCCAGAGGCCAAGATTGTGCAACGTAAGATTGTAGGGAGCTACCTGCAATTTGATCTGAGGAGGAAGGCACTGCATTCACGCAGCCGACGGCGAAAGCGGTGGATGCTGCATCGGATGGCGAGGACGCTTTTCTGGGCCTTGCCATAATGGGCTTCCAACGATCGCAGCGGACGTGAGCCGCTTGTTGGGTAAATACTGCCAGTTTCTGCTACGACGACAACAACTACTACCAGCACAAAGAACACAACCGTCATGGTAGTAGTAGTAGTAGTA